AGAAAAACATTTTAGAATATCAGATCTAAAAATAAAAAAATTACCCTTACACCGAATATAGAGTACCTAGAAGATCATTGATTTGGATTACAATAGCGTTTTAAGCTTTCGGGAGTATCTGGTCCTTCTGCTTTTTCAGTGTTCGATGCTTCTGCGAAGATAGAAAGTGGAATTTTGAACGGAAAATTCAGTTTTATTGGCTCGTACGACGAATGTCTGAACGTTCAGAGACCGAAACAATCTACAGCGCCGCCAGATGTCGGAATTTCTGATATTAAAGGACAATACTGTGTCGTTTATTTGAAACCGATCCCTCCTCAATGGAACACGACTCAAACACAGATTGATGACTTAGATCATAATGAGTTTATCAATGCCCCAGAAGTTTGGAGGGTAAGTAAATAACTAAAACTATATATGTATATATATATAATAATGAAAATGAGTTGATGAGAAGATTCAAGCTTTAATTTCATTAAGGAATGTTCCCAGCTGACAATATTCAACACAGTAAAAACTGTGCCCAACTTATTATATGCATCATTTAGTAAAGAGTGTAGCCTGTTTATTATATGCAACATTTAGTAAAGAGTGTAACCTGTTTTACACTCTTTACTAAACGTTGCATGTAATGCTGGATACACTCTTTACTAAATGTTGCATATAATAAACAGGCTACAGTCTTTACTAAACGTTGCATGTAATAAGCTGGGTACACTCTTTACTAAATGTTGCATACAGTTAGTGGGGTACACGCTTTACTAAACTGTTGCATGTAATAAACAGGCTACACTCTTTACTAATCGTTGCATGTAATAAGATGGATCCACTCTTTACTAAGTGTTGCATACAATTAGCGGGGTTATTACATGCAACATTTAGCAAAGAGTATATTCAGCTTATTATATGCAACAAATTAAAGAGTGTAAACTGTTTATTATATGCAACACTTAATATAAAGTGTACCCGGCTTATTACATGCAAAATTTAGTAAAGAGTGTTTCCAGTTTATTATATGTTGCACTTAAGGAAGAATGGGTCCAGCTTATTATATGCCACATTTAGTTAAGAATAAAATCTATATATTATCTCAGTTTACTACATAGACACAAGCATAGTAATATGTGAGTTATACTACATATCGTATGTTATGGAGAAAAGAGACGATGGTTTATAGCTACATAATTACAAGCCTTGTCTTCCATAAGTGCTGAATAACTTACAGTTGTACGTTCCAGATATTCTTATAAATGAGGTCTCAATTATTAAAATTCATGGCGTAAAGAGCATCCTTAGGTGATGGATGAGCTACAGTTATATATATATAACTTCTGGCTTCAATAGATACTGAATGATTTACAATCTTACCTGTCATATCGTGTTTAAAGGTAAGGTAAGCCTTGTCTTCCATAAGTGCTGAATAACTTACAGTTGTACGTTCCAGATATTCTTATAAATGAGGGAATTGAGACGAGAAGGTTCAACTAATTTAAGGTACATACAACTATGTGTGTTATATTTCGTTACAGGGAGGCGATACTTTTGGTTCCATGATGGGATCTGTTCAAGGCCTAGGTTCCTACATGGCGTACCGTGCTGGATTATGTTTACCCAGTTCTTGTTCGCTTATGGACTTGAATCTCATGTTAAAGAGTTGTAAGTTGATCTATTACTTACCAAAAAATTCATTATATATATATAAAGAGATTTTAAAGAGCATGATGAGAGAAATATTTCCTGTTTGCTTTTGGTTTCTCCATAGTTGCGTAGACAGATACAGAAAACACACACACATGCGTTTGTTTGATATTATCCTGCTTTTAGTTCCCTCAGCCCTTCATTTATGAAAATTACTAATTCATCTACATCTTTTACCAGTTTACAATGTGTCATTGAAGCAGAATGAACGTATTTTGAGCACATTTATCTTTGATGTGTTTCCAGCTTTATCTCAAGTTCCTGTCGAAACGAATGCACTTAGGTGTGAAGGAAACGAAACTCATCCACTAACAGTAGAACAGATTTTCGTCATGTAAGTGTAGGATTTGAATTGTTTTTTGTTGTCAAAATATTGTTTCTAGAAATCCATTAGACCTTGAAACATATCAATTTACAGAAACCAGTAAAGGCAGGCTCGGTTCATTTATGGTTAAGACTACTCGTGATTATTTATATGTTTGTTCAATGTAATACTAAAGCCTCCTGGTTTAATTCCTGCGGTGAGCACAGCAAAGATGGTCTATTGTTCAGCTTTGTGCTTAACAACAAAGTAACATTAACGCTATTATGATTAGCCGTCCAGCTGTTAACGTAAGTTTTTCTTATAAAGAAGCCTACCAGTGGCTCAGCGGTAAGTCTGAAGTCTTATAATGCTAAAAATCAACACAATTGGACAGCACATTGTGTAGCTTTGTGCTTAAAAACACACACACAAAAAAGAAAACTTATACAGAATGTTACACGTGACTGTTCTGCGTCAAGTTTCATTTATTTGACATATATGTCTTATGTCTTATGTCTTTTAGAACGCTTTTTAGTGTGCTCCTGGCCCTTCTTGTTCTTGGTACGTTACTAGACATCTTGTTCTATCTGCAGAGAAGAAGAACACGTGCAAACGATGCAATATCAGCATCGAAGGGTGAGTCGTTATTGTAAACAAAAAAGCCTTTTGTAGACGTTCTTGTGTTGTCATGAATAAACTAAGCATACAAAGAAATTAAAACATTTGTCTTGTACTATATTTTTAAGTTTTGAGACAAAATAGAAAATGTACTTTTCTTTCAATGAATCATAAACAAAACATGATGTTAATTTTCCAGCCTTAACTCTTTTTGATACTTGAAGAAAACAAACAAATTGTATAAACTAAGTAATGAAGCATTAAAATCTCTCTCTGATGTTCAAGTTTCACTTGAGATAAACCTACTGTTCATCCTAAAATTAACAATTACCTGTGTTCACCGGGTTTTTAAACACATTTTTCTAAACTATTTTTACAACAAATTACTTGTTGGTTTATGATGTTCTAGTATAATGTTCCTAAAAACACAAGACCCCCCCCACCACACACACATACATAA